CGCCCTGAACCTACAGACGGTAAGGAACCGGATGCAGGCAGGAAGGGTGAACCAGGGGAAAGACAAGGGGGCGTGGATGGAACCGAAGCAACCAGCACCCCCAAGTCCCAAAACGAACAACGGGGCAGCCCCGGGGCTCCCGGGGAGGAAACCACGAGAACGTTGCCACCACCAAGGCTCAAGTGCAACGCCCCTGCTGCCCGCACCCGCTTTGTTAGCACAACTGGGTAACCGAGCCACAACGAGCAACCAAACTCGCAGGACACCGGGTCGAAGGTGTCACCGACCCCACAGGCAGCAGACGGAGGCAAAACAGAGAGTCACCCAGAGACAAAAGGTGAGAGCAACCCTCAAACTCGCTGGAAGCGAGGGGGGGGCTCTGGGGTCACATCCATCGGACCCGCGCGCCCCCAGGGGTTTCCCAGGGTCCCGAGCGTTTACTTTAAGAGGACTCGCGCTCAGGTAATCCCAGGCAGGGTACTGCTAACCGGCACCCAAGCTACCAAACAACTTTCTAAGAGCTGAACCCCCGGGACGTGTACACTCACGGGGACCTAGCAGGGGGTACCACCAGAAATACTCAGAACACAAGGGACACAAGGGGCAAGAACGAAGGCAGACCCCCCCACCAGGTATATAAACAAAAGAAAAGAAAACCCCGCAAGAGGACAGCGTACCCAAGCGGAACAGAGCCGGCCGCTATGATTGGTAAAGACAAGCTGCACAGTACCCCGCGCCCCACCAGTGCAAACACTGCCCCTTACTCTAAGGCGAACAAGGGAGACAGAACACCCGAGCACACAAAGAGCGGCCGAAAACCAAGCGGTAAACGGCCAAGCAGGGGCAGGACCCAAGGAACTTGTGGAAGGTGGCCCCAAGCCCCAAGGGCAGTACTTACAGGGCACCTAGGGAAGGGAACCCTAGGCGCATGCAGCCCGAGTACTGAAGAATCACACCCGGCTCACGCACCACCTAGAAAACAGACACCACACTCTAGGTACAGTGCTGAAACAACCACTGGAGCCGGAGCACATAACCATTGCCTATAGCATCAGCCGAAGAACTGATGGGTGGATAGCCGGCGTGGGAGGTCTGGGGCTCCCCCTTCCCCCTCCCGGGGAGGGGGGAGCTGCGCAGACAGCGGCGCGGTGACGTATGACGTCATACTAGTTTCCGTGTTTTCTGTTGAAGAGTTCTATTCACTAGTTCGGCTTAGGTAGCAATTTTCACCAGAATAGGGGTTTGTTTTGGAATGCTTACCTTTCTGGATGCTTGACCCGGTCGATGGCAGACATAGAATGCTTCCAACCACACGGGGATTTTATAGGCCATTGCTCCCCTTGCCTCTCTGAGGGGGCCAGGTTCTGGCTCGTGGTCCCCGGTAGGCCCTAGAACTCCATACACATGACTGATGCCAAAGTCTGACATTAGCATATCAGCCGGTAAAGCTCCGGGGAGCCGACGGGGCTCCCCCCAGAAATGCCATAATATACTTGTTCATGCTATTATGTAGCGATGATATTATTACAGAAGACCCCTGACTGTGATAAAACTGACCAGGGTTCTGATAATAGCAGGATTGTGGTGATATTTAGCGCTGTGCGCCATGGAGGGAGGAGTAATGCTGTGGGAGGGAGGATGGTGGCGTTGTCTTCTGACTGTGTGTGGCCACCTTTTATTGACTGCACTCACCATACCAGCTTAGTGGTTCGCTATGGTGAACACAAATGTAGATACTTATATATAACGTGTGTATAGAGTGTATATAACAGCAAGAGTAGGAGGTTGGGAGCCGCCATTTTGGTGAGGGAGGAGCGTCGTCTGCAGGACTTTTATGTTGTTTACTGATGACCACGATGGTCTTTGGGCACCATACCAGTTTACTTGTACAAGTATGGTGAATAAAACAGGTAGATATTTATATATAATGTGTGTATATAGTGTAATAACACCACAAACAGTATTGTTGTAGGAGAAATATTAGTGCGTCTGGCCTTGAGGGCGGCCGCCACCAGCTGACTGTGTGAGTAGCTACGTCTCTCTGCCTTTACTCACCATACAAGCTTAGATGTACAGTTATGGTGAACAAAACATGTAAATACTTAGTGTAATAACCGACAAAGTATTTGTTCACTGTTTGATGAACATAATTGAATCAACAATATGCACACCATATTTTTGAGTACAGCGATGATTCACTCATTTTATTATATAAATATATCACACTACACACTATTGAATAATATTACAGCAAAAAAACTACGAAAAATCAATCAGAGACATTGAAATAATTAGGTAATTATCTCTTTGTGGAAACTCTGGCCTGACAGCTGGCGATCAACAGACCGCCTGGGACACACGCTCAGTCAGCGCCTGATTTTTGTCACACTTCCCAGCCCTATAGTGGGCAATATATGCCACTTACGATTTTTTTATTATTTTTCCCATGATCAGTGAACACAAATTAACAGGTTAGGATGATTTTTTTTTTTTTTTTTTTTTTTTTTTTTTTTTTTTTTTTTTTTTTTTTTTTTTTGGTATGCGCCTGTGGGTGTCAAATGGTATATAGCTATGCGCCATTTAAGGGTTAGTGGAAGAGCTTCATACTCACTTCCAGAAGTGGGGATTTTGTCTGTTTGGCCCTTGTAAAACTTTATTCATTTGCTGGTGCCTTTCTGGTGAAGTCTAAGTCAGCTGGCTTCTGGAGGGTCCATTGATTATGATGCCTGTTTGGCTCAGCTGGGGGTGCAGCATGTGTTATATCCAGTGACAGTTCTCCACTGCTACCTTCAGGGCACCAATTCAGTCTCTGTGAATACCTTGTGTGTTGATTTTGTCTCCTTGGCTCTCTCTGTTTCAAGACTCATATTTCATTTGTCATGTGCAGTGTTATTACCTCTGGCCCAACCCATCCTACTAATAGAACGTCACATTTTGACATACTCTACATAAGGCCAAAAATTGTCTTACTAGAAAATGGTAGCGGCTTGCAAAATTGACATACTGTCCCATTTCTGTTTTTTGTTCTCTGATAGGTTAGTATAAGGGGACTTTAGTACGATAATTTATTGACATTGGGGAAACCCTTGGAGGACGGCTTGTCTAGCCAGCCTATGGCCTTCCCTTGCAACCATGACATTAGGAAATACGCATCACTCTCAGCAATGTTTGCGAACATGTCCTGGGCTGATATTTGGACATGAGGGTTTTGGGCATTAAACAGGGTTCTGGAGCCCAGTATCTTGTGCCTGTGCCCAGGCCCCAGCACCCTTGAGTGTGGCTTTGGGTTGTCTATCTTTTCCAGGTGTCTCTTCTTTACCCTTACTCCTGTTATCTTGAGATTATCTTGAGATGATTTCGGGTTTTTTTAGTGTCCTCGCGGCCTGGTCCTCGACCAGGCCTCCACCCCCAGAAAGCAGGCCGTGACAGCTGACTAACACCCAGGTACCTATTTTACTGCTAGGTAACAGGGGCATAGGGTGAAAGAAACTCTGCCCATTGTTTCTCGCCGGCGCCCGGGATCGAACCTGGGACCACTGGATCACAAATCCAGCATGCTGTCCGCTCAGCGAATCGGCTCCCTGTGGTTCTACCTCCTCCCTGGTTGGTGCCTCTTTGCTTTTCTTCTCTGTAGGTAGTTACATTTAGAGAACCAAAAGGGGCTGCCCAAGAAAACAAGCGTTGAATGTAAAGAAATGCCAATTTCTGCACTAGTCCCGGTCGATCCCTGACACCCTCCCTCCCTCCAGGTCATCAAGGAGTTGGGTACATATACCATAGACCTGACGGTGCAGGAGCTAGCTGACTGTGTACTGCCTCCCCCCCTTAACTCCCACCAAATGAGAAGGGGAGGTGGGGTGAACAAGCTGGCACAAGTTTCAAGATATTTCAATCATTTGTTTACACCGGTGGGGGAGTTCTGTCGATGATTCTTGAGGTTATGGTCTTGTTAAAAGCCAGGAGTGGTCTGTTTTGTTTCAGTGACTTTCTGGGTGCCTTCCCTGGTTGTGGCATGAATAAACAAATGTCCCTTCTCCGTGCACCTCTGTGAGACTGCCAGATTCTGATGCTGGTACCTGTTAGGCCTATAGAACTTTGCGGCTGTTGCGACTGAGTAGCTGGTACACTATCAGTGATGCAGTACCAGCTACTTCAGGGAGTCACTGGGGCTCACACAGAAATTGGTGTTTCATTACATTCAAGGCTGCTTTTCGGACTGTCCAAAAATACTTTGACAAAACACCCCATAGGAAACTTGTGCACAAAATTGAAAAACTCCAGTGGATAAAGACGTACCTCTGCAAAAGAAGACAAGTCACAGTGAGAGGAGTTGTGTTTGACAATTTAGTGTTTCCAAGCATTATTTGAAGGATTATTACTTTACTTTTATTACCAAGCATTACTTTACCGAAGGAGTGGTTTGAAGTTTCTCTATATTGTTTTGGGACGGTTATCTCAGGTGACTCCATTATATGGAGAAAATGAGATGGTTGGAATATGTCTCCAATGTTGCAAGAATATTACCAACAACCCTGAGTATTCATAATGTCCTATTCTTACCAGTAACCGGGGAGCCGGTCAGCCGAGCGGACAGCACGCTGGACTTGTGATCCTGTGGTCCCGGGTTTGATCCCGGGCGCCGGCGAGAAACAATGGGCAGAGTTTCTTTCACCCTATGCCCCAGTTACCTAGCAGTAAAATAGGTACCTGGGTGTTAGTCAGCTGTCACGGGCTGCTTCCTGGGGGTGGAGGCCTGGCCGAGGACCGGGCCGCGGGGACACTAAAGCCCCGAAATCATCTCAAGATAACCTCAAGATAACATAAGTTAAGGGAAGATACCAAGAGGTACTAACCCAAAAATGGGGATTACAATAATATAAACCTTTAATGAAAAGACGTTTTGTAAGGGAGTTAAATGTATCACATTTCACATAATTAGAGCAATAATTCTTCTTAAAGCTTTGATAAGTAGATTAAAACTGTAACAAAAGTTACCTTACCTCAGTACACATACCCGGTGTGGAATTTGAGGAATGATCTGGGGTAAGCTTTTATAGAACCGAGATTTTTGCATGTTATCCCACTGAAACATCTGGTCAAGGTAGCTTAATGTTTTAACCCCAACATCTTCAAAATATGATATCTGAAAAAAAAGAGAACATTTGAGAGAGTGAGTGAGTTTGCTTTTAATATTTTAATAAAAATATTCTAGTCTTACTCATCTATTACTTTCTTACAACAAATAATAATTCAGCAAAATTCATTTAATTTAATAAATCAATGATACTTTCTAGGAGGGGAGTCCTCAGTAGTTCCCCAAAGCTAAGTATTCACCTAGCTGAATTCATCTAGTTGTGGTTGTGGGGGTTGAGCTCTGGCTGTTTTGGCCCGCCTCTCAACTGTCAATCAATTATTTTTTTTTTAACACATCTCCCCCCTTCCCCCAAGGAAGCAGCCCATAACAGCTGTCTAACTCCCAGGTACCTATTTACTATTAGGTGAACAGGGACATCAGGGTGAAAGAAACTCTGCCCATTTGTTTCCGCATTGTCGGGGATCGATCCCCGGACCACAGGATTATGAATCCCGAGCGCTGTCCATTCAGCTGTCAGGCCCCCCTAGGTGCATGTCAAGCTATGCCTCAGTGTTTTTTTTTTTTTTTTTTTTTTTTTTTTTTTTTGAGATATATACAAGAGTTGTTACATTCTTGTACAGCCATTAGTACGCGTAGCGTTTCGGGCAAGTCCCTGGAATACGATCCCCTGCCGCGAAGAATCGTTGTTACAACCAAGTACACATTTTACTGTTGCATTAAACAGAGGCTACAGTTAAGGAATTGCGCCCAGTAAATCCTCCCCGGCCAGGATACGAACCCATGACCCTCCAGTTAGTTTCACCAGGCTTCTGAGACCCACTGTTGTCTACAAGGAACCTGAAACGGCATCTGGTTCCATCAAGGAGGCGAGGAAAGCTAGGATTAAGGATTTTCCTTCATAGAAATAATTAGAGTGCAATAGCAGGACTTCTGCTTTCCTTGGTGGACTTTATAATTTTGCATATTATCTTATCCTACACCAAAAAGTACCTGCTCCAGTACTTTGCAATAATCACCACTCCTTTCTTCCATCAGAACCACGCTACATTAACAGTCAGGCTAGACGGACAGACTGCCAAGCCTGTTTAACAGGCTAGACAGACAGACTGCCAAGCCTGTTTAACAGGCTAGACAGACAGACTGCTAAACACATTATAGATTCTAGCTATATAAACACATCAACATCTGGTTCAATTCCCCCAATTTCTACTCAACCTATACAAGTGCACATCACCTACCACTGGATGATGCACATATTTAAATGAATGAATAAATAAACAAAACCAGCACCGAATGTAATGAAACACCATTTTCTGGGTGAGTTGCAGAGGCTCCCAGAAGCTATCAGGCTAATATGCGATACATTAGACCGGGGCATTAATCAATGGAGTTCAGCCTTCCGGGTAGCATGAGCCAGAACCTGGCCTCCTCAGAGAGGCACAGGGAGCAATGGCCCTTGGAAAAAAACCTGTGATTGGGGTTTTCCATATCTGCCATCGACGAAGTGCCTCTCTTCAGGCAATCAGAAAGGTAGGCATAAAAAACAGACCCCCACCTGGTAAGAATATTGCAACCAAACAGAGGCCAAACTCCCTCAATTCCCAAGGAAACAAGCAAACGTTACACCTCGCCGCCGTGCCACTCGTCTGGCGTCTGTGCAGACCTCCCCTCCCCCTGTCCGGGAGGGGAGAGCCCCAGACCCTCCACGCCAGCTACCCAGCAACTCTAGTTCGGACAGTATCAAAACAACGCAAAAACCACCGACAAGAGGAAGGGTGCCAGAGAGCATCCGAGGCTCACCCAGAAAATGGCGTTTTATTACATTCAATGCTGGTTTTCTGTAAGGAGCTTTTTCGACTCCCTGAAGCTACATAACCAAAGATAAGTAAAAGAGGGACTAACCCAGGAGGAGGCAGCCACACGTTCCTCAACTCGAGGGCGAGACAACTGGCTGCAACCTGCGACCCAAAGTCACACACAAATGCCCAGGACCACAAATGTTGATGAAATAACGGGCGGCCAAGACCCTGTACGGCCTCCAAAATCACCCCGCATGAATATCATCCCAAGACGTTACCAAAGATGGCAGCTAAAGCAGCAAACTTCCAAACATCATTGGCACAAGGATAGACCACAGGCTGACTAGACTTAAGAACCCGCAGACAACCTGGGAGATCCAAGCCCTGGAGCAGGGAATAAGGAAAACTGGATCAACTCAAAACGTATCCCCGGCCACACAAACCGTGGCTCACAGATAACGGCAAAGAGCCACAACAAGACACAATACATGATGCACCCCCGACCTGACCAATCAAGAATCAATGACCCAAGGACCCCTCCGGAAAGCAGTCATCTCGTTCTTCGCCAGAAAAGGAGGAGAAGGCTGCAACCAAAAAAAACGATTACCAGGACTAAAAGAGCAGAAACCCCTGCACTGGAGAAGAGCATGAAGCTCACAAACTCGACCCCAGAGCCCAATGCCAACAGAAAGAGAGACTTAAAAACAATCGTGAACCAAAGGGGCCACCACAAACCATTGAGAAGAGAGACAGGAGAGCACCCTGTCCAAGGACCAGGATAACTCCGACAACACATGAGCAGGCCAGAGGTGAAACAAAGCACGAGAAAGCTTACGGAACAGGACGGAAGTGACGTCCACCCTGAACGAAAGCCGGAGCAGCTCCACCCACGCCGCACGATACGCGACGACAGTATTCGGCATCAAATTACAGTCTCGAAAAAGCCAAGAAAGAAAGGACTAGATAACCCGATCAGAAATAGAAGATAATCTACAAAGAGACAGAAAACTGCAGAAAGAATGCCAGGAAACTTCATGTAGATGTAGCCGAGAGCTACATCTCTACTGTTGTAGGGATGTAGCTCTCAGGTGGGAAACCATCAACGAAGCCACCTGATCACCAAACAAATGGTGAGAATTACGTCAAAATGACTAGACATGAAGAGCGGAGGAGAAGACCGAACCAGCTGTGTACCGGACTGGTCTGATCTGCTGGAGGAGGCGGAGCCACAGAAAACACCCCGGGTTCGGACACTGAACAAGCAACGCCTGAAAACCAAGCAAACCGCTGTGAAATCCCACACCGTGCTGTGAGCCTGACGGAAGGATGGACCCCACTGCCCCTGGCCGCCCTAGTGAGCACTGGTCACAAAACCCCAGCCGAGAGACGACGCATCTGTGAACACATCTAGGGGACACAGGTGGAAACCGAGTGCCTTTTTTAGTGTCAGAGTAGTTGAGAAATGGAATGCATTAGTAAGTGATGTGGTGGAGGCTGACTCCATACACAGTTTCAAGTGTAAATATGTTAAGAGGCCAGTAGGCTCAGGAACCTGTACACCTGTTGATTGACGGTTGAGAGGCGGGACCAAAGAGCCAGAGCTCAACCCCCGCAAGCACAATTAGGTGAGTACAATTAGGTGATTAGGTGAGTACATCGAGCAAGGACTTGGGTAGGCACCAAGGCACTGAACCCCCCCAAAAAAACAAAGAAGAAGCTGGCGACGCAGCAACCGATGCGAACCAGCTAACTACTGTTCCGGTCGTTATATCTCACCGACTTCTAGTCTCCAACTCCAATTTCGCGCCATATATGACATCACGCCCCATATATAAGGTCTTGCCAGCGTCCAGAGCATGAGATTACCCTTCGAGTGCTCATAGCCATAACATCTACTCTCCCCCTCCTTTTGAGTATTTTACGATGACTAATGCTTTATACATTTCAGGTGTAGCAATTTATGACTCGGATTTACTTTAGATTACGTAGATGTTTTAGGCGCAAATTCATACTCATAATAGTTAGTGATCTAATAATCTTTGCTATATCCTATGTTTTCCACCTTATTCTTGACCCTACAGAAGAGTTTCTCACTCAGACACATCACCCCCTCGGGTACTCTAGTACTTTGGTCTGTCTCCGGGATATTATGCTCAATCTTTGCATGCCGAACATAGGAGGACATACTGGACTTTAGTTCCTTTTGCATCTAAGCCTTCACTGTACTCCCATACATCTCTACTTTTCAGACAAAGGAGAGACCAACCTTACTAATTGCGCGCAGCTGGCTGACATCTACAGCCTAATTCACCAATCGTCATCAGACACACCTCCCAGTAAGTCATCTTGGTCCAGTCCTGCTAAAGTGAGTTCTGCTGATGTGAACTACTCACTTTACTGCAGATACTGTAAAGTGTACGGGAATACATAGAAAAGTGTACCAATCCTCACTAAGTCCAGCAGTTAGACCCACAGGCCCAAACCACCACCTCCTAAACCTCATAAGCCTGTAATGAATATTCATGTTCCAGCTTCTGATCTTTCTCTCTTCCACAGACACCTATACCCTGGAACTGTCTCTGCCAGCAGTGGAGATTCAAAGGGAAGGAGCAAAGTGAACATCTTGAGGAACACAGCTGCTCTACAATCTATACTCCTCAAAGCAGCTGCACCCAACATCACCTATCTTGAGGTTATCTTGAGATGATTTCGGGGCTTTTTAGTGTCCCCGCGGCCCGGTCCTCGACCAGGCCTCCATCCCCAGGAAGCAGCCCGTGACAGCTGACTAACACCCAGGTACCTATTTTACTGCTAGGTAACAGGGGCATAGGGTGAAAGAAACTCTGCCCAGTGTTTCTCGCCGGCGCTTGGGATCGAACCCAGCACCACAGGATCACAAGTCCAGCGTGCTGTCCGCTCGGCCAATCGGCTCCCTACACCAGAGAAACTATCCTCATCACAGACCACTCCATACCCACTCGCTAGAGTCCACCTGGATTGTTCGTTCGTTCATTTGTAGTGAAGTCCACGTTGCCATCAGGGAGAAACCTTTCCCGATGCCAGGAGTTCAACTTCTCCTGGGCAACGTCTTGGCAGAAGAGTAAGAACCCACGAACCTCATCATCAGTGACAAACCACAGGTATGTGACTCTTCCATGGAAAACCCTGTTATGAAATACGTAGCAGAGGTGGTTCAACTGACCAACGATTCAGAGGACCTTTCCCAGCCAGTCATGGTGACAACTCATGCCCAAGCCACTCGACCGAAGCCAATAGCTCCAGCTGTCCCTCAAGATTTTCAGAGCCCCCCACCGAATCTCAACCAGTTGGAGTTACGTAAGTTGCAGAGAGAAGATCCATAACTAACACCTTTATTTTTTCAGGCCAAGACACAATCAGATGCTATCCCTGGGTTTTTCTTAGATAAGATTATCTTATATTGTAGATATAGACCCAGTAAGTTAAAGGAGGAAGACGAGTGGGCTAACATCAACCAGGTAGTAGTCCCTACCAGCCTACGGCCAGAGATTTTGCATTCTTTGCTCCTTGAGCTTTAGTAAGGGTCTAGTAGATTTTGGTCTCTGGTAGTCTGTTTATTAGCTCTCAAATGCCTGTTGTGATACATGTGGAGCTATCCAGGCAGTAGTAAGAGGAAGCCACTGAGTGGCCTTCTGCAGAATCAATTATATACAGCCTTTATGACTGATTGCCTTCTTACAACAAATTTTGATTACCTTGGAGAATTGCATTGCATCTGGTCGTAACTGGGGTGTAGCATGAAGCAGCAGCCGCACTTGATCCCTCAAACCATCCGGAATTGACAGCAGGTTCAGTGAGTTTGTATTCTTCAACTGTTGAATGAAAGGCTTGTACAGTACTGTAAATCTTAAGTCCAGAAACTGCATTGAGTAAATATGAAAAGTACCTGAATGAGCAGGACAACTAACTGACTGACCTGAAAGACAGACTAGCAATTAATCAGCCAATTGTGCAGCTGGCCAGCAAGCCAGTGAACTAAGAAAATTCTACATGTACTTAAGTTTATAACAAATAACATCATTTCACTGACCAGCATTTGGTAATTATTTTTTAAAACAGCATTTAGTTAAAGTTAACATTATTTCTTCCTTATATAGGTTTAATATGTTGTTGATGTGATTTGAAACTTGACTCCCATATGAAGCATTAAGCCCATGATAATTTGAGTTTCAAGTATCAAACAAACACTTTATGAACACAAACTTGAAATACAACCCATTTGTAACTTGGAAACTCTGTACCAGATATATAATTAAAGAAATATATATATAAATATATATGCACCAACCTCACAACAGTTTCTCTTAAAAGTTGCAAAGTCTTGATTGTTGTGGAAGATAGGTCTTCCTTCATTAAAGAGTGCATAGATAATGACCCCCAATGGAAAGAGGTCAGCTGCTGTATCCAGAGTGTGGGTGAGTGCGTACTCGGGTGCCAAATAGTCAAGATGGGGTTGGCAGTTGGGGTGTCGTCTAGGGTCATACTCTTCAAATGGCCAAAACGGCTGAGAAAAAATATAAATTTATTTTAAAGAGATAAGTTATTCTTATTATGTTTCAGCCGATGTTATTATTTAGTGGAAATAATAAAACCAGTACTGAATATAATGAATCGCCTCTATCTGGCGAGTCCTTCAGTACCTTCAGACGCTACTCACATATCTGACTGACACACTTAAAAACTGCACATGACTCCATCAATTCATGAGCACCTATCAGGACCCAGGACCAAAAATCTGACCTGCCCCTCAATGTTAGGAGGGAAGTCTGGGATTTAGGATATATCAGAGCACCCCAAAAAACCAGCGTTGAATGTAATGAAATACCATTTTCTGGTTGAGCCCTGGAGGTTCCCTGGAGCTTATCAGGCTAATGAATGTTATGTTAGACCGGGACATTAGCTATGGAGTTCAGACCTACCAGGGACCAGCGCCAGAACCTGGCCCCTTCAGAGAGGTTCCAGGGAGCAATGGCCCTGGAAACACCCCTTCTGGTTGGGGGTTTTCCATATTTGCCATCAACCGGGGTTAGGCACCCAGAAAGGTAGGCATAACAAAACAAACCCCACATGGTAAGAAACTAACAACAAAAAACCGAACAGAGGTAGAAACTCCCTACAATCCCTAGGAAACAAGCAAACAAGCATTTATCACAATTTACTGCTGCGCCGGTTGTCCTCACAGCCCTCCCCTCCCCGAGAGGGGGGGGGGGGGGGCCTGGACCTCACCGCGCCGGCTGCCTTCAGTTCGGAAACTATGCTTCAACCAACGCGAAAAAAACGACGACCGGTGGGAGGGAGGGTTGCCAGGAAGCCTCCGGGGCTCACCCAGAAAATGGTATTTTATTACATTCAACGCTGGTTTTCTGTGGGGAGTCACTATGGCTCCCTGGAGCTACATACCCAAAGAGAGGGAAAATAGGGACTTACCTGGGAGGCGGCAGTCACAAACTCCTCAACACGAAGTTGAGACAACTGACTGCAGCCTGCAACCCAAAGCAACACAAGAATGCCAAGGAGCAGGCACGTTCACCAAATAACGGGCGGCCAGGACTCTGTTCGACTTCCAAAATCCACACGCCCGAATATGAGCCCAAGACATGTTACCAAACACGGCAGCCAAAGCTGCAAACTTCCGAACGTCATGGGCGCGAGGATAAACCGCAGGCTGGCTAGACTTAACAACCCTGCGGACAACCTGGGAGACCCGAGCCCTAGAACAGGGAACAAGGGAAACCGAATCAACCCAAAGCACATCCCCAGCTACTCCAGCCAAGGTGCGCAGGTAACGGCAAAGAGCCTCAACCAGACACAACACATGATGCACCCCGGCCAAACCAACCAAGCATCAATAACCCTCAGATCCCTCAGGAAAGCAGCCGTCTCGTTCTTTGCCAGAAAAGATGGAGAAGGCTGCAAACATACAAACCTACCCTCAGGATCAAAAGAGCAGAAACCACTGTGCCGGAGGAGAGCACAAAGCTCCTTTACCCACCCCCCAGAGGCCAATGCCAACAAAAACAAAGCCTTTGAAAAACAACCTTGAACCGAAGGAGCCACCACAAACCGAGGAGAGGAAAGATAGGAGAGCACCCTGTCCAAGGACCAGAACAGCTCAGGCAATGCATGAGCAGGCTGGAGGTGAAACATAGCACGAGAAAGCTTATGGAATGGGGCGGATGTGACGTCCACCCCAAACGCTAGCTGGAGCGTCTCTGCCAGCGCCGCACGATGCGAGGCGACAGTATTAGGCATCAAATGACGGTTCAGAAAAAGCCAAGAAAGAAAGGACAAGACAACTCGATCTGAAAGAGAAGACAACCTACGAAGAGCAAGAAAATGGTGAAAAGAACGGCCAAGAAACTTTCTACTGTCACCGAGACGAAGCTCTCAGGTGGGACACCATCAACAAAGCCACCTGATCACTATAAAAATTGTAATACACCCACATCAAAAAGACCAGGCGCGAAGAGCTGAGCAGAAGTTCGAACCAGCCTCGTACCGGACCGGTCCGACCTGCTGAAAAAGGTGGAGCCGCGGGAAACGCCCTGGGTTCGGACACCGAGCAAATAGCGCCGGAAACCAAGGCTGGGCCGGCCACCAAGGGACCACAAGGACTACTGGAAAGGTCTCCAAACGAGCCAGAACCCAAAGCAACAGCTGAGCCAGGGGGGGGGAAAAGGTACAGGTAACCCCACCTCGACCAGTCCTGCCAAAAGGCATGCGCCGCGAACACTTCGCAATTGGGGTAGAGCGCCACAGACTGGGAGACGCTGAGACCACGCCAACGCGAAGAGGTCCACATCTGGGAGTCCGCACGTCTGGCAGATCCAATGAAACGGGTCGTCGTCGACCGTCCATTCAGTGGACAGGGGAATGATCGTCTCAAAGCTCTCCAAATGTACTCTCTAGAAAGGAGACGAGAGAGGTACCAAATAATATACACGTGGAAAATACTGGAGGGCCAGGTCCCAAATCTACACAGTAAAATAACAATATACTGGAGTGAACGATATGGAAGAAAATGCAAGACTGAACCAGTGAAGAGCAGAGGTGCCATAGGCACAATCAGAGAGCACTGTATAAACATCAGAGGTCTGCGGTTGCTCAACGTCCTCCCAGCGAATATAAGAAATATTGCCGGAACAACCGTGGACATCTTCAAGAGAAAACTGGACTGTTTTCTCAGAGAAGTTCGGATCAGCCGGGCTGTGATGGGTATGTGGCCCTGCAGGCCGCTCCAAGCAACAGCCTGGTGGACCAAACTCTCACAAGTCGAGCCTGGCCTCGGGCCGGGCTTGGGGAGTAGAAGAACTCCCAGAACCCCATCAAGCAGGTATCAACCAGGTATGAAGCGAGACAGGCCGTCTGCCAGGACGTTGGACACTTCCCGGATATGAACCGCAGGGAGAGCCAAACCCCGAGAATCCAGCAGACAAACCACTCAAAGTGACCAACCCCAAAAAGGCAAGGACTGAAGAGAACCCCCGTGGTTCAGCCAATGAACCACCGGAGAAAAGTCCGAATGGAGTCGGATGGTCGATCCCCAAGCGACCCGAACCCTCAGAAGAGCGAACCAGACTGCCGCGAACTCCCGAACCATGCTGTGAGCCCGACGGAAGGACAGACCTCACTGTCCCTGGCCGGCCTGATGAACACTGGTAACAAAGCCCCAGCTGAGACACAACACGTCCGTGAACACATCGAGCGAAGGCTCGGGAAAGCGCCAAGGCACCGAACCCTGAAAACGCCGAAGAGGAAGCCAGTGACACAGCAACCGACACAAGGCCCCCGGAGGACGAACCCAACGATCGCAAGAGAGGTGGAAGGAGTGTTCCCGAAGGAACCAAAACAGACGCCGAAGCCAAACCCAACCAAGCGGGTAGACTAGCACGGCGAAGTTCAGACTCTCGCACAATCGCTTGAGCAACCACCGAGTGACCCGAGACCCCCTCAGAAACAGTCGATGGCGGGACCGCAGCCGCAGCAACGCCTCTGGAGGGAGAGACAAGGAAGCTGTGCGAGAATTCCAAACAAGACCCAGCCAGGTTCGAACCTGGGACGGAACCAGATGGAACTTCCTCCAATTCACCAGGAACCCAAACCTGCGAGCTGGGTAAGAACCATATCCCTGGGGAGCAGACAAGCTGACCAACTAGGAGCCCACACCAGCCAGTCGTCGAGGTAGGCCAAAACCCAAATCCCTAGAAGACGCAGATGGGTCACCACAACCTGGGTCAGACGCGTGAAAATGCGAGGTGCCAGATTCAAGCCAAAAGGTAGACAGCGAAAGCAGTAAGCGTGACGCCCCACCACGAAACCTAACCAGTCCCTGAACCCCGGATGACTAGGAACGTGCCAATAGGCGTTCTTGAGGTCCAGGAACACCATCCAGGCACCCAGCTCCAACATAAGCCGGACCTGAGACAGAGTAGTCATCCGAAAGGAGGGGCAAGGAATCCAGAAGTTCAGACGGGACAATTCCAGAATGAACCTCAGATCCGCACAGTCCTGTTTCAGCACTGGAAACAGGCGGGAACCCCACCTGAGGGATGGAGGCGTTTCGACCACGCCCAAGAGCACCCACTTCAAGATGACTTGACGAAGCGCAGGAGAAGAAACCTGGCCTGTTTGCCCGAACCCCCCCCCCCCAAAGGAGAACAGGCCACCCAACGCCACCTTAGGCCGGATGCCACGACCGAAAAGGCCAAAAAATCGTGGGACCAAATGTGGGTCGAACAGGGCGAACACAGCGCCGACCAGACGACGTCGGCACCGAAGAGAACGTCGGCTCAGAAACTGACACCAATGGCCCACCTCGACCAGCTGAACCCGGAACCCTGGCATGACCCCTCCGAGACTGCCGAGAATGACCACCCCGGAGAATCAACAAGTCCGACAACTAGACGAAGCCACTTGCAGAAACTTCGAGACCACAGCCTCTGCAAACAGCAACGGACAAAACGGAGATGAGAACCTAAGAGCCAGGGCCCAACAGGATTCCAAAGAGAGGGCGAGCACAGCCTGATGGTACGCGAGGCGAGAAGCAAAAAACAGACACCGCCTCCTTCAGGATGGGCGCAAAGAGCTTCAACAGTGCAGCCGATGCCCTAGCTGCTGAAGTCAGCTAGGGCGTCGAAAACAGCAACATCATCTGCCCAGAAGACACAAGGGCCCAAGGAAGGGCAAAAGGAGCCCAAGCACTCCAAGTGGACTCCCTATGAGCCCCAGAACCCCAATACAAGCCCCAGGGCAGAGCTCTCTTCCACGCCCACCACCCCTGAAGAAAAGGTGGCATCCAGGGAAAAAACTTCCAAGAATGGAGTCTGCTGGGTTGACCCAGAAGCCTCAGCAGGAAAATCAGACCCAACCACTTCCGTGCCCGAAAAAGAAGGGGCAGCCCCCGAAGCCACCCAAGCATCATCCTGAGCTAAACCCAACCCCAACTCCGAAACCCCTCAGACATTCAGGAGTTGGAAGCAGGCGGGGTGGGGAAGGAGCAGGGTGAACTACACCCACCTGGAAAGCAAGCAGGGGTGCGGAAGGAGCCATTGTTACGAACAACCAACGCCCCAAATCCTGGGCCCTAAAACCCAAGCAGGGCACCTCCGAAACCTCCAACTTGGCAACCAACCTGGCCCGTTGCAGTAAGGAGAATCGAGCATGAAAGGTAGCTGTTGCCTGATTCTCAAGATCAACAGACAAGGAATGAGTAAAGTGAAGTACAAGCGGAAAACAATGCCCGCAAAACTCCAGGTCGGTGGTGTTCCCAACCCAACAGGCAGTGTGAATAAGGCAGTACAGATAACTGTTTCCCTGAGGCAGGGGCAACGAACAACCTTCAATTTCGCACAAGGCGAAAGCAGGCGTGGAAGAATTAGCCAATGTACGGCCGAGCCCACAGGGGTTTCTCAGGGCCCATAGGGCAAATTAGCCCTACGGGAAGCCCAGGCACTGGGGCTAGCTAAGCCGGTAGAACCCTGTCAGGTAGCAGACAAACTGACTACCAGCAGCAACAGTAAAACCTCGGGGGGCAATAGAGGAGGACTATCAACACAACCTAGGCTTACCTAATAAGAAGCTAAGCAGACCTCTTCCGTCTAAACAAGGCGAGAATACCAAAGAATTTGAAGAAAATGAAAACAAAACCCCTGAAGACGCAACAAACAAACTGGCAATAAGAGAGAAACATCAGCCGCTGCATTGAAGTAAAGCTAGCTGTGCCAGCTGCAGTGAGCCCCACCCAGCCAATAACACTCCCCTACCCGGGGCAACACAAAAAGCCCGAGACCCCCGATGTACCCCCAAGGGCTAAGACAACATCAAGTAATGAAGGACTCAAACGGGGAGTGATTCCCTAGCACCCCATGGAAAAAAACCTAACACGCAAGGGTAGTACTCACGGAGCACCTATGAAACATCACCCCTAGGTGCATGCTGCTCCTGTACTCTAAGACACCTGGCCACCACACCACACACACATGTAACAGCCACACAGGGGCAAAAATCTAGAACAGGAACTTGAGACCAGAGGTGACTGAAGTGACCACTAGCACATCAGTTCAAGAACTGTAATGGCGGGATGCTGGCTTCGGTGAGCCACCTCCCTCTTTAGCGCTAACGAGAGGAAGTGCTAGTTGCATGAAGGGTTGCTTGTTTGGTTTCTTTCTAAGGGGAGTTATTTTGATCTTTTGGGATATAGGTTTACACAGGTTAACCAGACAGTGGTCTGTTTTGATTTGCCTACTTTTCTAGGTTCTTCCTCAGTCGAAGGAAATTATGACATACATACTTTAAATGTAAAGTGTGCATAGGCCATTGCTTGAACCTCTCTGAGGGGACCAGGTTCTGGCTCATGGTTCCCGGTAGGCAAAAGGATTCCTGTGACTGATGACCCAAAACTAATATAGCACACATCAGTTCGGATAGCTTCAGGGAGCCGACAGGACTCCCAACAGAGAAGAAAATGTATTCAAAAAGTTTTCCTGGGCACCTGGATTGAGATTTCCTAATGCATTTTGTTTCCATTCTATATTTTAGAAACTTCTGCCACATTCAGAATTGAAAGGAGTCAAGATAAATTCCAATCCATCTTCTTGGGTTATCTTGGGATGATTTCGGGGCTTAGTGTCCCCGCGGCCCGGTCCTCGACCAGGCCTCCAACCCTAGGAAGCAGCCAGTAGCAGCAGTCTAACACCCAGGTACCTATTTACTGCTAGGTAACAGGATCATCAGGGTGAAAGAAACTCTGCCCATTTGTTTCCGCCTCCACTGGGGATCAAACCCGGAACCTCAGGACTATGAATCCAAAGCGCTGTCCACTCAGCTGTCAGGCCCTATCCATAAATACAGTATAACAATAACAAATCTAAAAGACTAACCACACTGCAGAATGAGGAATAGTGTATAAGAAACACATACATTACTCTAAATAAGACTAATGAAAAATCAAAGACTTACAGACTGATCAGCAGCAGCTTGATTGGCCACACAGAAGTCAAATCCAAAGAGCTTCCAGGCTCCTTGATGATTCAGTACAACATTCTCAGGGCAGACATTACAGTGAACAATCTTCACAGAATTATGCAAAAATGCCAACCCTTCACTAACCTGCAAAATGCCATTTTTGTTTTATTATTGTACTTTGTAATTATCTGCATTTTTATATTTAATCATACAAAACTCAGTAGAAAAATATATTCAGGGAAAATATCACACACACACACACCATTGACAAATGAAATGCCTCTTTCTGGTGGGTCCTTCAGTGCCTTCCTGTTGCTACCTCCTGGATAGCTCCACCAAAATTAATTCACAATAGGCCATGCAAGTCTTAAAAAGCCTAGTGGAAACCAGGGACCAAAACCTGGTCCACTCACAAAGGTGAAAGGAGCCGAGAATATGAGATCACTAACTGAATGATTAAGCCACCATAAAGGTAGGACAAACCAACACAGACAACAGTATGGAAAAAATGTAAATAAAATTTAAAGAAAAACCAAAAATGGGGTAATGATTCCCAAAATAAAATGGTATAGGGTAAATCAAAACAAAGATAATACAGTTGCCCAGCATACAATCCATTCCCTTACTAGTTACAGCCACCCACGGCCAAGTGGCCAACCACAGCTGCAAGCCACCATGAGCTCTTAATCTGATGCAAGACCAAAATTAAAAAACTCAGACACACCAAGAAGTGGAGGCTTTCAGTACATCCAATGCTGGTTATCTGAGAAAGCTCCTTCCAAGGTTCCCTGCTGCTATCTCACCACAGAGAACAAAAAAGCCCCATTGAATGTAATGAAATGCCATTTTCTGGGTGAGCCCTGGAGGCTCCCTGAAGCTATCCAGGCTGATATGCGATATATTAGTCTATGGCATTAGTCAATGGAGTTCAGCCTACCGGGGCCCACGAGGCAGAACCTGGCCTCCTCAGAGAGGAAAAGAGAGCAATGGCCTCTGGAAAAAACCTGCGGTTGGAGGGTATTAATTATCTGCCATGGACCGGGGTTAGGCACCCAGAAAGGTAGGCATAACAAAACATACCCCACTTGGTAAGAAAATTGCAACCAAACAGGGAAGCAGAACTTCCCCAATTCTCAAGGAAACAACAAAACAAGCTAACATCATACAGCGTAGCCGTGCAGCTTGTCTACCCAGCCCTCCCCTCCTTGGGAAGGGGGAGACGGTATCCCGGACCTGGTTCCCTGCGAAGAGCCGCAACCACAGCACATGATGCACCCCCAGCCTGACCAACCAAGCATCAATGAGCCAAGGGCAAGGGCAAAGTCAGCCCCTCCCTAATCCCGGGAAACTCCATACCAGGACCCGGGGCCAAGTCATCCTCCAAAGCCCCGGCCTCACAAGAAAATGCCGGGGCAGCCGGAAGGGCAGGAAGGAAGGGGTCAGCCCCCATTGCCATGGCTGGAGGAACTGACTCGAATGCCTTCGTCGTTCCCCCCTGGAAGGGGTAACCCCCAAAACTGCCCGAGTCTCAGAACCTTCTAAACCTTGCCCCAACCCCGAAGCCCTCAGATGTTTCAGAGCCAGAAGCAGGGGATGGGGGACCAGAATGAACCACAGCAGGGAAAGAACGAGGGGATACGGACTGAACCAAGGTCGAAGCGACCAACATCCCAAGACCGAGTCCCTACAGGCAAAACGAGGCAGCCTCAGGACTTCCAGGAAAGCAATCAAGCTAGCACGTTGCAACAACCTAAATCTAGCATGCAATGCCTGAGCCATCTGCACCCGTATAAAGTCACCAGTGGAATGGGTGAATAGAGTCACAAACAAGCAACAATTCTCGCAGGAGTCTGGGTCGAGGTATCACCGACCCAACAGGCAGCATGACGGACACAAAAAGTGACTCACCCTGAGACAAGGAGACAGAGCAACCCTCAAACTTGAACAAGGCGAGAGAGGACCCAGGGGTTGCAGTCATCGGACCCCTTGCGCCCCCACGGGGTTTCCCAGACTGGTATCGCTAAGGGTAAGCCCAGGCAGGGTACTGCGAACTGGCGCCCAAGTATACCAATCAAAACTGTTAAAAGCTGAACCCCTGAGACGTGTCCTCTCATGGGGGGCCTAGCAGGGGGTACCACCCAGAAACACAGAAATATAAAACCTAAGTCAAAGACAGGGAACACAATGAACCAAAAGGCAGACCCCCCAACCACCAGGCAGGAACAAAAACAAAAGAAAAACCCTGCAAGAGGACAATATACCCAGGCAGAACAGAGCCGGTCGCTATAATTGGTGATAACTAGCTGTGCAGTACCTCGTGCCCCTACCAGTGCTTGCTTGATACCTGCTTGATGGGGTTCTGGGAGTTGTTCTACTCCCCAAGCCCGTTGAGAGTTTGGTCCACTAGGCTCTTGCTTGGAGCGGCCCGCAGGCCCACATACCCACCACAGCCCAGTTAGTCCAGCACTCCTTGGAGGGAACAAACTAGTTTCCTCTTGAAGATGTCCACGGTTGTTCCGGCAATATTTCTTATGCTCGCTGGAAGGACGTTGAACAACCGCAGACCTCTGATGTTTATACAGTGTTCTCTGTGCAAACTACCCCCCTTACCATAAGGAAAACCAGGGAGGAAGAAACCCCCAGCACACTCAGGGTGGTCAATTACTGGGCAGCAAAAGACCAACAGAGGTAGACCCTAAGGTGACTTGTGGAAGATAACCCCAAGCCCCAAGGGCAGGACTAACAGGGCACTCAGATAAGGGGAACCATGCAGCTCGAGTACCAGTGAAGAATACTCCCAGCTCATGCACCACCCTGAAGACAGCACTAAACACAAGGCCCAGCACTGAGACAAGAAACAGGAGCTGGAGTTACTCGACCAAGCCTCAATCACATCAGCCGAGAAATGGAGGTGTGGGACGTCGGCGCGAGGGGTCTGGGGCTCCCCCTTCCCCCCTCCCAGGGAGGAGGAAGCTGCACAGACAGTGGCATGGCTACGTAGTGATGTCATGCTTGTTTGCTTGTTTTTCTTTGGGGGGTTCTGTCCACTCATTTGACTTTTAGTAGTACTGTAGTTTCAACCATAATAGGGGGTTCATTTTGGGATGCTTACCTTTCTGGGTGCCTGACCTGGTCGATGGCAGACATAGAATGCTCCAAATAACGTGCATTTCTATAGGCATTTGTTCCTCATGCCTCTCTGAGGGGAGCCAGGTTCTGGCTCATGGTCACGGTAGGCCTAAGAACTCCATTCACACTGATTGATGCCAAAGTCAAATAATTCCATATCAATCTGGATAAGCTCAAGAGGCAGAGCTGAAGAGGCTTCCCCCCAGAAAATGTTAAAAATTTTCTTTTGCAAATGCTGTATACCAGTAGACAGTTGAAACATGTTAGGTGAGAAGGTGACAGAGGCCAAAATCATCAGTAGTTTCAAAGCGTTATATGACAAAGAGTGCTGGGAAGACAGGAAACCATGAGCATAGCTCTCATCTTGTAACTACACTTAGGTAATGACCATGCAGCTGATACAGCCTACAGCCCAGAGTTTAACAAATTAATTATTGAGGAAAGTAAACACAGATTGATTGTAGCCAGGTGCTGAACACACACACACACACACACACACACCATCAACACATTTAATATCACAAATAAGAATACATAAAATATTAAAATAAAAGAATAAAATAAGAAACACAAAATAGAAAATCAGAAAATAGCCTGATATGGAAAAAGGCTAACATAGTTCCAATCTACAAAAGTGGAAACAGGGAAGACCCCCTTAATTATAGACCTGTATCATTGACAAGTGTAATGGTCAAAATATAGGAAAAAATAATTAAAACTAAATGGGTAGAACACCTGGAGGAAAACGATATAATATCAGACAGACAGTATGGTTTTCGAACTGGAAGATCCTGTGTAACGAACTTACTCAGTTTTTATGATCGAGCCACAGAGATTTTACAGGAAAGAGATGGTTGGGTTGACTGCATCTATCTGGACCTAAAAAACCAGCGTTGAATGTAATGAAACGCCATTTTCTGGGTGAGTCCCGGAGGCTCCCCGGAGCTATACCAGGCTGATATGCTATGTATTAGACTTTGGCATCAGTCAATTCAATGGAGTTTTAGGCCTACCGGGGACCACGGCCAGAACCTGGGGCCCCCTCAGAGAGGCACGAGGAGCAATGGCCTATAGAAACCCCCATGTAGTTGGAAGCATTCTATGTCTGCCATCGACCGGAACAGGCACCCAGAAAGGTAAGCGCCCCAAAACAAACCCCTACCTGGTTAAAAATTGCTACCTAAAACCGAACTAGTGGAGCAGAACTCCCAACCCAAAAACAAGCAAACAAGCATGACGTCACACACTGCCGCTGCCGCTGTCTGCGCAGCTCCCCCCTCCCCAGGAGGGGAAAGGGGGAGCCCCAGACCCCCTGCAACGGCTACCCACACCTCAGTTCTGAGGCTGGATGTAAAAAAACGCGAAAAACCGCCGACTGGAGGGAGGGAGGGATGCCGGGGAGCCTCCGGGACTCACCCAGAAAATGGCGTTTCATTACATTCAACGCTGGTTTTCTGTGGGGAGCCCCGTCCGGCTCCCCGGAGCTACCTAACCACAGAAAGAAAAAGAGGGACTTACCCAGGAGGCAGTCATCGCTCGCACCTCAACTCGAAGTCGAGACAATTGGCTGCAACCTGCGACCCAAAGTGACACAGGCCCGACTAGGCCCAGGAACATTAACGAGGTAACGGGCAGCCAGGACCCTGTTCGACCTCCAAAATCCCCGCGCCCTCAGACCAAGACATATTCCCAAAGACGGCAGCAAGAGCCGCGAACTTACGAACGTCATGGGCACGGGGATAGACCGCAGGCTGGCTGGACCGAATAACCCTGCGGACGACCTGAGAGACCCGAGCCCTGGAACAGGGAAGAAGGGAAACCGGATCAACCCAAAGCGTGTCCCCAGTCACAGAAGCCATGGCGCGCAAATAACGGCGAAGAGCCGCAACCGGACACAAAACATGATGCACCCCCGGCCGAACCAACCAAGCATCAACCACCCAAGGACCCCTTCGGAAAGCAGCAGTCTCATTCTTCGCCAGAAAAGAAGGAGACGGCTGCAAACGAACAAAACT